AGTTTTCCTCTATTTGGCAGTGATTTGTCCATGTTTTGTGCATAGAGCTAATCTGGGAATAAAACCCATTGACTCTTGCTCCTCATTGTATTTAATTACAGTTTTGTAGCCACTGAGCAACAGGATCGACAAAAGAGAAAACCACCTCTCCTAACACAATCACTTCACATGCTGTAAAAGCTTTGCTCGCTCACACAACAAATCTCCCATATGGCAAAAATCAATAAGCAGAGCAACACTCTATTGATCATATCTATATCTTGGATACACTCTGATGTCATGCTCCACTAGCCATGTGCGTGTGTTTGTTAGTGCCTGTGTGTATTTAAGGACGTCAGGAGGTGCTGCGTTCATTCTAATGGAATAATAATTTTCATTAAAGCCTTCAGCTGCATTAAACCTATGCCTCAGGTAAAAGGCTACTTTTCCAATCGATGTTTCTTGCTAGAAAATCGGCATCTAATGTGACTGTGTATGGTGAATCAGAGAATTAATTGAAATCTCACTTTCAAACTTGTGACTACGGGGGAATGAAAGAAGCACAGATGCAATGAGCAACAAACTAATGCAATGTTGTCTTCACCAAATAAAAGGCAGTGTAAAATTTAAGTGGTGAGAAGTTCAGACGAAGTATTCAATTATTACACAGATTTACAAAATTTGCCTAAAAAGGTCCCGTATAAACCTGAAAGAGAGCCGTTACTTCAAAATGAGCTTTTTTAAATATGTGCTACCACTTCACACAGACGACATCAGAGCACAGTGTCAACACTGTGTACCCTTTTCTTTTGAAATGATGAACTACTACACTAATATTCAATTGCTGTATTCTTCATAGATTATACATTATTTATTTTTCTACAGTCTGATTTAACCCTGAGTGAAATGATAAATTTCACCTCTAAAGCTTCAATGAATGCCCGTAAAATCTCATTACCACTTACCACTCAGTTGATTTCATAAGAAAAGTGAAAACATTGTTGTCATCACATCCCATGATATAAAAGACCTTAATGCAATATGAATGAAACAGCTCTGATAAATTCTCTCATTGATTTCTCTGTATTTCCACCGTGTGATGACAAAAGCACAGGGTTGCCCTCCACAGGCAGCAAACCGACATAACACAGAAATACAAGGAAACATTCCTGACAAATAAATTCCCCCCGCAAAGTTACCAGGACGGACCGCAGAGACTTCCTGCCGCTCTCAACAACTTGCGGAGGACGATCGTTACCCTAACATTTTCCCTCTGACTCCCTAACTTCCTTCACCTCTCTACATTGTTTTCTCCCTCTCCTCCACTCGCTCCCCTCACTCTGTCTGCCTGTGCAGCTCTAAGTTATTGATAGTTTAAAGTTATGGGCTAATAATAAGATGGACACTGCATGGCCAGGAGCCTATTATACCTAGGTAATGGATAGCGTGCGGGTTTTGAATGACATTGCCTAGAGATTGGATGACGGAGAGTGGAGCGATTTATAGGCTATACCCAAAGAGCCCCCCACCCCCCCTCACCCGTTCCTCTCTCAAATGCACACACACACACAAACACGGCACCCTATGCTATTTATCTGCCTTGATAAGGAAGCAGATGAGGCATGCCAGTATTTATGGTGAAGATGTTCATAAAAACTGCTGCCTTAGAGTAGGAAGTTAGAATCAACTCAGAAGAACAAATCCACTGAATATGCTCTGTGTGCACAAACACGTGATTCTGTAGAGGAAACAAAAATGTAAAGTGTAATTGCTGCAGTGTGATCTTCACCCCCCCCCACCCAAAAAATACAACTTGAAATATGCTTGGAGGTTGTCGACAAAATTATTTAGAGGCTTCCTGGTAAAATAGAGGGTTGTTAGACTTGTTAATGTCACTGCACCGATCAGAAATGAGTATCATGAAAATCTTAAAACATCAACGTCACAACAGACAAGTTAAGAAACAAGGAAACTCTGTTCTCGTCTACATATCAGCAAAGTGTGATAGATACAGATGTCAAAGATGCTACTTTCAATCTAGTTGTACAATCCGTCATTCAACAAAAACACCAGTAAAAATCCAAAGCCCCGGTTACTGCAGTGAGTGCTGCAGGTTTGCATTTATGCCATGTCTGCATAATGCTCATAAAAGCCTCCTCAGGTCCCTGTTGAGGGAAATGACAGCGACAGTAGAGACACTTGAGCCAGTGTTGTTGGGATGGAGGAGGAAGAGTAGGAGCGGAGAGGGCATCAGGGAGCGCAGTGAAAAAGGTTTGTCAACATTATCTGTTTTATTGATTTAACAGTAAAAGCTTGCCGCTTAAGCTTTATGTTGCTATGGCTGGCCCCATTGAAAATACAACGGCCGCAAATAAAAAACGATTTCTTAAAAAAACTTGAGCATTTTTATTGATTTATTTTTTTATTTTTATCTCCTGGCAAGCAGCTTGGGTTTTGCATGCATTATTGTTTTAAGTTTTACACATTTCATCATCTTTACGAGTGGTCATTAAGGTGGGACTATGTTAAACTGTGCTCTCACTCCCAAAGGGATCAATGGCTCTGGAGGAGGCAAGACGGCTTGAAGCTATATGTAAGACCAACAATGCTTTGAGCTAAATGCTCAATTGCTCAGCATGCTAACATGCTCATGATACTGCTAGCATGTGGATGTTTAGTACATTTTACATTCACCATCTTGGTTTAGCATGTAACTAACATTTGCAATTTGTCTTCTTCACATTTGGTCTGAATCTTAAAAGTTAACAAATAGACGGAAAGTAAGTTCTAAAAATCATCCTTTGAGGTTCATGTATGACTTTATACTGTGAGGTATTTTAATACACAGTGAAAAAGTCACAACTCATTGCGGCACAAAGAGAATTAATTGGTAAGAAATTTAAAGAATTCTTCCCCGAGTTGTCAAGACATTACATCCTGAACAGAAAATGTCAAGATGTCAGAAGAATACATCCTCTGAGAATCATCAATATGTTTTTCTAGCTCAGTCTAGAGGATAAAAAGACAATATAATATCTGTTAAGCTGCATTTCCTGTGAACATCAAAAAAATCCTTTGTTTTACATTTCCTGTTCAGCAAAGGTGGACAATGATCACAGCACAACAATAAGCAAATCAATCAGAAGTCTCCAGAAGGATCTCGAGGAGAACCCCTTTAAGTGTCACTACACCCCATGCGGACCAGAGAGCAGTGGGGTCAACAGAGTGTGTCATTGAAGCAGCTTGAAACCTGGTAGGGTTCCTGTTGTGTCCTGAACTGTGGAGGCTTTTCAAAGACGCTCTATGCAGCTCTATTATGCCTTAGCAGCTGGTTATTACCAGAGGAATCCTCCAGCTACCCAGAAACGCTCATCAACACTCTCAAACAGACACGTGTATACACACAAACACACACAGCATAAAATACATGCTAAATAATCTAGGTTACTATATTTAGCCTATTTGAGCATTTTATTGAAATTGTTTGTCCTGTGTAGAATTAAGAGCAACTGAAAAAGATATTAATACATTTAATCAATGTTAAATTGTGTCTCTCATTTCTCAGATAATTGGTAATTGTTACATTGTTTATTTATGCATCAAGAGTTTCAGCTAAATCATGGAAAACATTTTTTGTCTAACCTTTAATTTACTTATTTTGATGTGACCTTCAGAGGAAATGGCTTTGAATATTAAAATAGTTTGAATCACTGTTTAAAAATAAATAACACATATGTATACATAACTTGTATCATAAAAGCAACTGATTGGCATTTAGCTGGATCATTACCTGACAGTGAGATTGGCAGAGTACATTTAAAAAGGAACGAGATGTGACAGATAATGAATCTATAGTCGGGTGTTGTGTACTGAGAGAGTACAACAGAAAGACAGAAGAACAGAAAAGAGCAGACCGACAGCCCAGAGCATTAATTACTGTTGACACGTAAAAAATATAATTAGATATGAGAGGAAACAGAAACTATTTATGGCAACCGAGGGGCCTTGCTTAATGATCAGACTGCAGCTAAAACCTCTATTGATTTTCTTGTTAAATATACAGCTCAATTAAAGATACCGCTGATTAAAAGACAATTACAAATCGCAACGGTGGTTCTAGACATGCTGGGGAAGCTGGGTAATTTGGGGCCGTCTGCCGCAGACGGAGAACTGCACGTTTTCATCCTTGCTCTCTGCCTCATCTCTGCAGTGCAGTGGGAAATGAGGCTGCATGGGTATTTTTTTTCTTTTTCCATGTGAAAACCAGCATTTCTTGTTGTGGCCAATTTTAGACAGAGCTGCGGGACCCATGGATATAATAGTCACGGCAAAATTCAGTGTACAGTTAATACGGCTTGTTGATTTCTCAGAATGTGACAAAACAACCTGCTGAATTTCAGCACTAAAAGCATAAAACCAACTCTGATTAACCACAAACAACAACAATAACACTGGCCTTTGAATACATAAAGCAGAATACATTGAACAAACAATACAAATTGAATTCCGTCATTAAAATGAAGTACCTGCTTAACAGAAGCTACACCGTGGCTCTTTTTTCTCCGATCTGCATCAGCCTTGTCACTGACAAATAAAAACCTTGACAGTCTGTATACCCTCACCACCACAGAAGGGCAGAATTACAATGTATAACAAAAAACCTTTCTGTTTTTCATTTAGGAAAAAGAAAACAGTTTAAAGTCTATAAACCACAGAATTTTTTCATAAGTTTTAGCTGCGCATTATTTAGTTTTACATTTTTCTACTTTATTACAAGAGATAGAGGCATCTTAAGAATGTTTAGGAAGTTTTGTTTTTGTTACTAATGTTGCGGCATTAGTCATCGACAATATAATTCAATAAATAATTTATGTAAATGAAGAAAAAAATAATTGGTTTTTATTCCTGTTTGTCACCTTTCCCTGGTGTTGGCCTTTAAATAAATTAGTTATGACAAGTTCAAATATGTGCATATACCTCTGTGTGTGTGTGTGTGTGTGTGTGTGTGTGTGTGTGTGTACCTGTAGGGAGTTGAGGAGGATGAAGATGTAGGCCATGACAATGGAGAAAGGCACCAAGACGCCACAGAGCCATGTTAATCCAAGGATGGGAAGCAACACCAGCACTGCTTTCACTGCAGCCCTGTGCTCTCGAACACACACACACACACACACACACACACACACACACACACACACACACAAAGAGAGAGAAAGACAAACACACACACACACACAGAAACAAGTTACAGCACAAAAAGAAATGTATGCATACAAATGTGAATGTTGTAACATGCAAGCACATGCACCGCAAAGACTTGACTGGCTGACTGAGCAGAACTTATTTATCACCAGATAAAATCAATCTAAGCATTCCCTAATAATTTTCCTTCCTCCCCAGTCGCCCTCAGCTCAATTCTGGGTTTCTCAACTTTTCAGTTAATTTTGGACAAACCTGAGCAGCTTTGGCAAGCGGCTTGTTCCATATACAACACTGTGCAGCTGGAAAGGCTCACAGGGTGACAACTTCCCACCTTAAATCCACCTTAATTCTGTTTAGAGTGGAATTAGCTTCTCACTCAGGTGACCGCCAAACCGCACCAGCTGTGTGTGTGTGTTTGCGTGTGTGTGACATGGCGGGCGGCGAGCCCTAGTTTATTCAGCGGAGGAATGTGTTTGAATTTCCGAGACGGCTGCCACCCAGGGGTGCCAAGTGGTTCAAGGCCTGCTTTGAAAACCTGCATAGAGCACCCTCTGTGAGCCGCGGTGGGCTGACATGGTGAGAAAAACATGTACACTTTAACATGAGTTTCACTGATAGCATCATAAACACGGATGTTGTGGTGATTCGACTGGAGCGCACACTCTGATGAACTAAAACCAGTGATATTATAGAAAGCACAGGGCAATGACAGTGATAGAACTTAACAAGATAGTGTGTCTGCACTGCAGTAGTCAAAGAACACAACTTCAGACTTTAGTCTAGCTAAAACTTTTTCACGGGTTCTAGTGCCCAGTTTCAATCATTAGCAATCGCTCAAACAGCTGATAAAACTAGTAAGTGTATTGTGTGGATTTATGTGGCGTATAGAGAGTGAAACTGATTAAAATTTAATTTTATCAATTTAATTTCATTCAGTATTCTAAGAACTCAGAAGAAAAGTTTCCCAATATCATTTATTCCTATAGGCAGCAATATATTTTAGACTATTTAAAAAATATAGAAAAAATAAAATCCATTTATTCTCATCCCATCATTTCAAAGACCCTTTTCCCAACCAAATATTTTAGAGGCCATTTTGGAATATCAATATTTGAATTGGTTGAAACTGGCTTCATTCCAAAAAATTTGAATTAAAATAATTTCTTTATCGTATCAACACTCACAGATATGAAAGAACTACATACACTAATGCAGCCCATTCAAAATGTATTCCTATCTTGTTTGATAAATGAGGCCCGCTCTTTTAAAACGACAAATCCAATATAAAATCTTGCAGCTGCTTTTTATTTGACGCCCAGTGACTATTGCTTGTCGGCTCCAAGGCCTTAGGCCCAGGTGAATTATCTTTAAGGGGAAAAAAGAGGACAAATGGCACCTCCTTGTGGTTAGTACCTGATCTGCTCGTAGGCTTGTTCCACAGGACTGGTGCCCATGGCCAACATGATGGACCTTCTCTTGGCTGTGGAGATTGTGATGATCACCACCCTCGACAGTATCAAGATATTCACCTGGAAATAAAAGGAGAAACTATCAATCGAAACAGAGGAAGATTTTTTTTTTCTTTCATTGTTTTTCAACTGTTTCCTCGTCGTGGGAACTGTTGGGTTCCTCTCGATAATATTGAAAGATCTCGACCGCATTCACCAAAGTGCCTTGAGATGATGTTTGTTGTGATTTGGTGCAATACAAATAAATTGAATCTAATGCAGGAGAAAGAAATAGAAAGAAAGGATGGAGATCTATAGGTTGACATATTTGTTTGTAGGAGATTGTAGAGGAAAGATAAGAGAATTGTCCAAAGTGACTGATGTTGGTCGAGCACTTCATATAGTATTACCACTACGCACACCACAAATTTCATTCTATTCAGGCTACACAATAGGATTACAATTTAATTTGCAAACCATGATGATGAAGATGACTGGCCCAGCAAAACCCCAGATAACTCCGTTCTGGACACTGAGCCAACAGTAGCCGTCGGCAGAGTATTTGCCCGAGGCCGATGCCAGCGTGATGGTGACTATCAGCACCGGTAGACCTGGAGGGAGGGAGGGAGGGAGAGAAAGATGGAAAAATAAAAAAAGAAGGTGGAGAGTCAAGGAATAGATCATTAAGAAGAGGAATTAAAAATCAGAAAAAGGTAGAAGGGAAAGGAAATGGGGCTATACAGTAAACACCACTGAGTTGTAAACAGTCACAAACATAAGCAGACCTTAAGTATACAGTACTTCCTAAAACTACAACCATACAGATTACCTGATCAGATTTAACTGGGTTCCTTGTGGATTTTAAGACGTACTTTACCATTAGGTGATAATAACCATCACAACAAAAATCCTTGATATTCACTGTCTATCTGTGAAAAGAAAGGTCTTGGCTTGTGTCGAGCCATTTTACCCCAGCCGATGAGATAGTAATATTTCATGTGTCGATCTTCGCTTAGGTTGACCGCCACCACCTTGCTCCAGAGCAGCAGACCCTCCACCAGCATCCAGCTAAATGCCGCCATGAAGAAGAGATGAAGCAGCGCCGCCACAAGTGTACACGCCACCTACAAACACACAGACGTGCAGATAGAGACAGATACAAGTCCCTCCGTACATTACAAGGTGAGGTTCCTACTGACACAACATAAGAGCAGAAAGTAGAAAAAGCTTGAATGCCTGTATGACAAACCCACATACCAACAACCAGTGGTAAACATAATCAGAGACGTATGCCTGTTGGGTTAAGTTTTTGAGGGAGGAATGGTAGATTCCACACTGCTCTGCATTTACACAATTTGCAAGGGTAAATTTTGTGTGGAAAATCCTCTGCCTCCCAAAAAGGCAATTCAAATGTACAAGCACACAATGAGTGCTGTGGTAACCCAGAGGAAACTGAACTGACAAACTTTATAATCTATAGACATGTCAAGTATTCATCTGTTCAAACATCTTTTTCATACAACTATATTTTTAAAGTTAACCCTTTTAGGATTTCAGAAATACAGGTATGTGCTCCACATCCAAGCAAGACTCTTGTTGTCAGATGCTAAAATCATCAACTTGAAGTGTTTATGGCAGAGGGGTTGTGACACATTCCACTTTTCAAATGTGAAACACACACAAAAACTAAATGTCAGAGGTTAGCCATGTGTCCTTTAAGAGCAGCTCATAATCCTGAATGATGAATGAGGAGCCAGTGGCCACTAATATCACATTCACACCTCTTACAATCTCAAACTCATAGATTGCTTATTGCTGACGTATGATTTTAGTACATTTACTTGATGATTGCAAAGCCTATCAATAATATAAATTGAGGTAAGTTGAAAATGTATTGTGTTTATTCTTATTATATTATATTGTCATTAGCTGAATTGGCCAAAACCTTGTTAAAAACTGAAAAATGACCTCCTTGATTGTCAGTCTATTTACACACACATTTGATAAATTTCCAAATAGCCTGCCTGCAGCGTTAAAGTGTACCCTGACATGACCTGGGGTCAAAGGACCAGGGGTCAAACCAACTACAGGTCATTGAGTGACCACAGACTGTGCTTTGCCTGATGGATGCGACAGCAGTGGTCACCTATGTCACATCGAATGCCTAAACATTTGTTTTCCTAGGAACCTCAGTGTGGTCTCAGATTTCAAATCTCATTAAGGCTGCTATAAATAAGACAGTGATGTGGGATAATAATAGGAGTTGAACACAGGAACGTATAATCTTTAAATATCATCTTCTACAGTGGCTATGTAAACATTGTACTTTGTCATGGATAGTGAAGACATGAGTATCAGAAATATTATAATATTTAAAGCAATTTTTTCTAATGTTAAATATAAATTTCTAGTACAACAATGTTTGAACCTTTACTTAAGAACAAGTTTCCCTGTGTTTAAAAAATAAAATTATTTTTGTAGAGTTGCTCTCATTTTCAATATCCGGCTGAATCTATTCTTCTATCGAGGTTTGACAGAATCTAGCATGAACCGTCATGAAATGAGTCGTCGTCATTTATCCGCAGCTTAACCTTTGGTGAACCGGCTTTAAATCCTATGCATTGTTAGATTGAAAGCAGACGTTTCAGTTGTACCTTGTTGTGAATGGCTGAGCTGCTGCACAGCAGAATCACCTGGGCACAGATCAGAGCAATGAACAGGTTCTTGTGAATGGACGTCCTATCAGATTTGGGGATACTGTGGAAAGAGAGACACAGGGATAATGTTTCTTTTTAGATAGATCTCGTATAAAACAACTGTTAGTCAATAAATAATACATTTTAGAGGACAGTAGAATCTTGACAGTATGGCCACAACTCCATGTGAATGGGACATTTTATACTGAGATTATCTGAGCTGTATTTACTCACAGTTAAGCCTTGAGCTGATTGAGACATTTTACTCAGCACTGACTCAGCCACAGTTTCACTAATATCCAAGGCTGTAAAATGACCTGACTCTTAGCTCTGAATCAGTTTATGGTTTCTACTCATTCAAAATTTTACATCCTGTTGATAGTGCTGCTGCATCAGTTCGGACCGGTCTGCATTTTTCATTTCTTTCTTTTTTAATTCTATTGTTGGTCTAAAGAGGCGCAAAACTTTTAACATGTTTGCAATTTGGCAACAACAGTTTAAGTTTGTTATGTCCTCCAAGGAAGTAATATTTTCATTTGTTTGTCCATCTGTCAGCAGGAATGCAAAAACTAGTGAACGGATTTCCATGACATTTTGTGAATTGGTGGGGCATGACCCAAAGAGTAACAATCTGGAGCGGATTTGGACAAACGGGTGGATCCCGGATTTTATTTCCACTTTCTTAAACATTGCAATATGGGATGTTGGTGGATGTATATGCTCTCCAGGCGCCTTTCTAGTTGTCCAGAGGGTTTCCTTGTAAATTTAAATTCAGAATTCAATACAGTAATGGAGACCAGAATGTATATGACACACATACCATTCTTATACATTACACAATCTCTAGAAACAAACACATACTGTATTTAGACGGCATCAATATGTTGAATGTTTCCATTTCAGCGTGTTCACGAAGCATAAATGACACATGTTAAACTGGTTTAAAGAGGTAAATCAACTGAAGAGCTTTTCATTACCTCCTGATGGCCTCAGCCTATTTAGACTTATTTCATATCTGCATCATTGCTTGCGACCACCATAATTTCACGTGTGATCATGCATGCATCTGTGGACACGTATGCTCCGCTTTGTGCTGTGTGGGTGTGCTATGTGTATTGATGTGCATGTATATCATCATACCACAGAGTGTGTGTGTGTGTGTGTGTGTGTGTGTGTGTGTGTGTGTGTGTGTGTGTGTGTGTGTGTGTGTGTGTAATGCATGGCTGCGCTCTCTGATTTCAGGACAGTCATAAATCGCGAGGGCAGCTCCTCTCCAGCTGACTGTGATCCCTCAGTGACCCTAATGTTAATTAACAGCTGCAGAATGCCGCCATAAACCTTCAGAGTGGACTCACATGTAGACAGCAGTAATTACTGCATTAGCACTGGTCAATACTCATACGAGCCTTAGGTACAGATCACGAGCAGCTACTGAGCCAAAAAGTTGTATTGCCATTTTTTTAGTTTCTTACTTGTGCATCAGTGAAAAGGAGTGTTGACAAAACCACAGCCACAACCTCTTTACTTAATGCTACAACACACAAATCGAATACACCACTATCATATAAAATATATGGTGTAATCATTTTTCTTACAACACTACCTCTGATTTTAATTAACAACAAGGGCCTGTTGATATATAACCATTGTGTCGCTAACAACAGGGCTAAAGTCGAGTTGTGTGTAGTGTTTCAGAAACCAGGCATCTATTTTAGCATCGCAGGTAAATGGAACGGGAAGATCAGCTACTCACTCCAGCACAGTGAACAGCATCAAGGTCACCACGAGCGCACACAGAGACGCACCAGAGCCGATGAATGTCAGCTTGGTTAAAATAAGCTCTTCCTCAGGAGTCCACTGGGATTAGACGGGGACAGCAGTTGTGGGAAAGAGTGAGAGAAAAACAGTAAAAAAAAAAGAAGAGTGGACAAGTGGTTAATCAGCAGCCGCACCATATCTGAAAAATCACAGGTTTGATCCACAGGACCCTTTCTCAAGGATACAAAAAAAATTCCTAAAAACCAAATGTGCTGTTCAACAATCTGCGGTTGTTTCTTTTGTGCTTATTTTACCATGATTATGTACTTTGGATCAAAAGAACAGTTCCAATGCATTCTTCAACAACATAGACACACTAGGACTGCCACCTGCTGGATAATATAGTGTACTGAAAACCACAGCCACAATTTTAGGGGTTAAAGTTCTCAACTTGGATTAAGATTTCACATCAGCAAAATGTATTTGGAAGCAAATCAGTACTACATATGGCAAATAGAAAAACTACCTTATGTGATCAGTACTATACTCATAATATAGTATAGAAAATGAATAAGTCCCCATTATGTTTATCACAATTTAAATTTGAGGTTTGACTTTCAAACATACAGTTTAAATTTCCCCTCAAGCAACCTCTACGTCAGTGTGTGTGATTTAAAGCACCACATCATAAATCATCTCATGAGTTACCTTCGACTCCAGGTAATTCATCAACACTGCAAAATTGGTGGTGTGGTTACATAGACAGGAAGTGACACCAGAGCCAGCATAGGTCACCCTGCAGCCAACACTGGACCAGCTAGTGGTATGAGTGTGCCTGCGGAGCACAATACACAAGCACAGACACACACAAAGTCATCAATTCATTTCATAGAGCGGAGACGTTTAGGTTTGAATATAAAGATGGGCTGGATATCTATCTGTGATACATGTGTGCATTGTTTATATTAAATTGTTGTATTTGAGATAACAGACACATTTAAACACATTTAAAGACCAACCTTAGCCCAACAGACTACAGCTCTATTGCAATAACACATTCATTCGTCTGGTTATGTGACTTGTGACGTGGATGGTGTTGGTCAAACTTACATCAAGCTGAAATTCCAAAAGGCACAAACAGGAGATACTCTCTGTGAATACTCCACCTAGAAACAGACACATGTGTTTACACTTGTTTTCCTTCTCTTTCAGTCTGTTTCTTAATATATGGCACTGGACTCGGACCAGCCAACAGCGACATTGGATAAAAGTCACATGTTGTTGGCTGGGAGAGGAAAATTCCTTTGCGGTGACAGGCTTTATTTGGTGAGTTTAACAAAGGGCAACAAATCAATTATGACTCAACTGCTGTTCTCATACAAGATGCAAAAAAAATGTCTATCATCAGAGGGAATTTCACTTATTCCACTTGTGGAATTTTCAAAACAACAAAACAGCAGAGTTCATCTCAACCATTTTCAAAAGTTGCAGTCTCAAATTAGGACCTTTAAACCTCAAACATTGCTTTTTATCAACTGCCAACAAGAGCTGCCCAGATGAGACTAGATTTGATCAGATGAGTCAAGATGTTCAAATATTTACACCGTACCACGTGCGATGAAGAGAGGGTGTACTGGACAGCCACAGGGATGGTTTGGGCCTTGGAGGGATCACGAATGGAAGCTGATATGACAGCAGAAGCCAGGTGACCTGAGGGCACTCTGAAAAGGATAATGTTAATCATTCACATGCCCTAAAACATAACGGTTATTAATAATTGAAACAAAACAAACTAAGGGTCCAAATATCTTTACTCCTTCAGAATGAAGAATGAATGAAGTATCAAAAGCATCCACAACCAACCTTTGATTTTTCTCTTGCTGACTCACTGGAGGTTCCTGTGCTCCAGACTCAATCTCACTCAGATGGCTGTAGTGGGTATGAATAAACACCACTTCCTCATTTCCTAATTAGAAATAGAAGGAGAAGCACAACAGCTTTATTTTTATCCCTAGTGAGCATCACTTCAGTTGCAGCAGCGTCTCACAGTCACACTCAATACAATTCAAGCAATACAAATGTAATGTGTATTCTGTTTTTCGTGTGAGTGAATGTGTGTGTGGTTTTGTGCACATGCTTCCTACCAAGGGTGTGTATCCTCTGGAGCTCAGTGTCAGGGATCATCAGCTCATCCTGACCACTGCTGCTCGTGGTGCTGGAGCTGACGACAGATGGTTTGAAGACTTGACGATCGTGATCTTCAGTTAACTTTTGCCATTTCATGAACACATCTGGCAGCAACGATAGCAGAGGACAACAATATACAACCACAACAATTAAGACAGATTGACAATAAAAGTAAAAAAATAAGTAGAAATGTAGTGCTATTAATGGTTTGGGTCAATAATATAATCCATGTTGGACTCATCAGTGTATTTCCCTGGATTCTGTAACCACTGTAAACACTAGGAGATGAAGTAGTGCAACAAACTTACAACAGAATAGACTAAAGACAAATATACAATAGACACTGATGCAATCTCCAGAAACATCACAACAAGAGTCAAGTTAAATGTGTCAGAAAATATTGCAAATAAAATATTCTACCGTCCTACGTTCAATACTTTTTGTGCCTCCTGTATTTGAACCTAAGTGATATGATATGTTTTTAAGATGTTTATTTTACCGATGTTCTTGGTAGAAAGAGTGAAGCCTCTTCTCTCAGCAGACAACATGTCTGCAAGAGCTTCGGTGAGACCGTCAATGCTCTTTACAATAGTAAATGGCCCCACGCTGACCTGTAGAGGAAATACACACCAACAACAATTAGTCAGAGTGAGATTCATAGAGGAGAAAGGAAGACTTTCCTGGTTTAATAATTGAGACCAAGAAATGTTACCTCATCCCTGAAAAAAGATGGGGTTTGGCTGAATTTAAGTTGTAAATGGGATTTCATCATGCAGCGGTTTAGTGCAAACTATTTCCCAGAGAACACATTAGCTGGTATCATGAATTAAAAATATTATAAGCAAATCAGTTATCAATTGTAACAAAGAGAATCTTTTTTTTGACAGAGACAAATTAAAACAGGTCACTCCCTCACCCCATCCTCCGTCAGACCCATCCACTGTGTGGCCATGCTGGGCTCCAGCATCACACTTGCTGCCTTCACATAGTTCGTAGTAATGGAGACCATGACCTCTGCTGCATCATGTCCAGCTGAGTGAGTACTAGCTGCTGCAGTTAGGTCCATCTCAATCATCTGGGAGAGGAAGAGGACGTCACTGGAGGAGAGGACGTTTGGGTCACCGGCCTCCACGGTTTGCAGGACGACCTGCGACAGCTGCTGCAGCGAGGTCAGATCTCTGCCCCAGGAAGTGTTGATGCTCAGCTCCTCAATCACCTGAGAAGAAATGATGTGTTCCAACTGTATTAGTCTGTGGAAAAGGTGGTTACAACATCATGTTGCCAGTTATCTGTCTACACACCTCAGAATCCCCTCTGAGATTAAGTTTTTTTGTTGCTGAACAGCTAAGAAATCGTCCTTTTAGATCATTACCATGTCAGTGTGCTCTGTGCTACTCTCAGTAGTTGAGATGCCTCTGCAGCAAAATCACACAAACTCTTACTGCACCAGTCATGTGATGATCTGCTACAGACGAAAACTGTTCCACTCACGTGTTTAGTCAGAGGATTCTTGCCGAGTTTGCTGAAGAATGGTGTCTTCGGTAAACTGAAAACCTCCAGCACTTCTGCATAGACAGAGACAACTATAATGCAACACAATGCAAACAATTACAGCAAGATGACAGCCTTAGAGACTATCTCACATATTCTTTTTTAACAATTATGTAAATGTGACCTTTACTATTCTATTTGATAAATTACAAAATCAGATCACCACATTACGATAAGGATAAAATTAGGTAACGTCAACTGATGTGATTTACAGTATTACCTTTCCTAAACTGGCAGACAGCCCCTCTGATTGAGTCGCACTTGGTCAGCCTCCAGTCCTCCATAACAGGGTCAAAGATGCCACACTCCACATCAGACTGAGAACTGTGGAACAACTCAAAGGGGAATGTTTGATTCTCTAGAGAATTTCCATCCTCCAAGAGCGGATGCGATAACACAGTGAAGTTACCTGGTGAAGAAAAAAAAATATATATATATATATATATTTCAAGATATTTCAAGATATTTCAAGATATATGATCATCATGTCAACATAAAACTAAAGCAGTATCACTAGTAAAATATTTACGTGGAATAAACTTCACTTTCTTACTTCTGTTTTTATTTTTTAAAGTTAGGCTGTGATAAGCCAGGACAAAAACGTACAAAAATGTTTTACAAATATTATCGGTCGTACGTCGACATCTGTTGTGATATGGAAGCCTTGCAACGATGGCAGCTGAGGAGGCCATACTTGGGGTTATTGTGGAAGAAAACTCTGAAAACTCTGTTCAATACAAAATATGCCTGATGTTTCAGTCTCTACAATCGGCGCCTGGAATAGCTGCTTCCAACATATTCAATTGACGCAAACACCAAGCACCAGCTGGCACATTTGATGAGACCTTCAGAATCCATTGTGTCTTTCTAATGCAGTGTGTATACACCTCAAACGCACCCACCAAGCGAGAGAAAACATACCTCGAAACCCACTGCACACGTTTCAAGCAAACATGTTGTTCAACCTGGAAAACCGTAGTTTGTCACAGTATTCACACGATGATTGTTCTTTAGTGTTTCTTTCTTATATCCCTGTGCTGGTAATGCAGTGGGAAGTGCAGACAAACCTGAAAAGCTGCCAGTTTTGCTTTGCCAGGTGAAAAATGGTGCAAATTGTTTTGACATTGAATGCGCCCCCTGGTGCAGTTTTAAGCATTACGCTGACATTTATAAGCAAACAAATAACAGAATGTTGGTCTTGGTCGAGGACACTTTAACAGGTGCTGATGATGAAAAGACAAGCAGTTGAAAGGACCATATGACAGTACACCTGCAGTAGTAGTGAAGCGTATGACTGAACTGGTCTGATGAGGGAGAGGATGATGCACTACCCTGGCTCAAGTTCATTTTTAAAAGACTGGTAGATGAATCCCCCTACTGTCACTTATAGTTATACTGGAGGAGTACAAGTGTGCAATCCTTAGATTCAGGTGGGGGGAGTCAGAGTTTTGGAGCCTCAATGCTCACTGGGGAGCATGATGTCAGAGCTAGAGAAGTTTGTTTTTAAGGGTGGGATTCAGAGTGACGTGAGCTACAAAACATTTACAAGAACCGTTGGGAGCTCTAACATTTGCCAATTATAACTTGGATCTCCCATGTTAACTGTAGGGAGAGAAGCAAAGAGACAGATTTCCTCTTTCCTTCACTTTAATTACACTTCTAATACTGGAAAGGAAAATAGCAAGTGTGTGTTTGTCAGTGTGTGTGTATGCAGGTTTGCTAAAGAATGAAACAAATAGAGAAATTATACAGAATATCCTCAAGAAGCTTTTTAACTGATCCCAATCTGAGACTTTTTAAACAAAGTATCTGCCAACACCAAGTCCTGGTGTTTATATTTTCCTGGATTTACGTAGAAGCTTCTGTTTTTGATTAATTCCAGCATTGTATAAAAATGTGCACATTCAATAAGCGTATGTAATATAAGCAGTTTGTCACAGTTTTCACACAGTGATTGTTCTTTAGTGTTTTTTCACATATTTCAGTGCTGGTAATGCGATGGAAAGTGCAGATTAACCTGAAAAGCTGCCAGGTTTGCATTGCCAGGTGCATTTGTGTGTTGGAGAGAACATAAATCTGAGGGTTAGGTTGGCAAATTTATGATATAATATAATAAAATTGGTGAACTTGGCAGTTCACCTGTTTTCTAAAACACTAGCACATTGTAGCTATAGATCACAGTGTTTCCCATAAACTAGCTCGGCTGTTGGAAACATTGGATCAGAACATTCTCTTAAAATGGGCAATATGAAAGAATTGGCCGACTGTCAAATTTACACTCATAACAAATTACCAAAAAGTGGGGGGTGTCCACCCATATTATAAGACTCAAGGAAATGCAAACTGGCCAGTGCCAAGGATGGACTGGCCTTCAGGCATACGGGGACAAATCCTGGTGGGCCTCGTCATCAGTGGCCCAGTGACTGTCAAAAACCAGTTTTACAAGCCTTTTTCTCTGTGTCCTTGCCATTCAGGTTGAGCATGATTGTGCTGCCTGCATGTTCCAGGACTGGATTCGCTAGTAGCAATTTAAGGATTACATGAAAACAACAAGGAGCAGTATACAGTATATTCTATCGCCGCCAGACAGTGTGGCATTTTGGAAAGATCTTTAAGCAACAAAATACATAGAGATATTAGATATAATGTCAAAACTGTTATTTCTTCACATTCTGATTACAGTTTAGTTAATTTTTGAGCATTTTAAAACAATATAATTCTGCGATATTACCTCTATATTACACTTTTAAGTTGGTCTGAAGCAGTACTTGAAAAAAGTAAAAAGAATCAATCAAAGATTTAATTTGTATCTTCTATTTTGCTATAAAATGTGTCACATGTCTTAATGTATAACAGCTACAATTTACTTGTCCTTTGTTGACTGTGTTTTTGTGTGTACTTCAAACTTACTATTCCCTAAGGTAACTAACTGTTAACTAACAATCAGCGTGTTTAAGACTGGTAGTCAAGGCATGTTATTCTGTGTATATTCGACCAAATGTACGTTCCAATCAACAATTACATCACGATTGGGCCAGAAAAGTGATATGAGAGGAGTGTTTGTGTGTGTGTGTGTGTGTGTGTGTGTGTATATACACACACACACACACACACACACTATATACACATATATATTTGTATATATATACTGTATGTCGAAGAAGATGGGACAACGTCGGGGAACATTTGGATCTCGTTATTTATGTGATTAATTCAGGTTTTATTTTACTGGAAAGCCATATGGGTGGAGCTCACACATCAGGCGAGCTCAGATCTTGGCATGTTGCTGAAAAGTGTATAGCTCACAATGACTCTCGTTCTCAGTGTGATTGTTTCTCTGCATAGCAACCCCACCCAGCTCTAGCTTCAAACCGCAAACATGTACAAAATCACGTTTAACTTTATCTCTTCTGTCTTTTGCAATATCAACTATTCCTATACTCACTTTATAATTTCTTGTTTTGGTTTAGATTCGTGTAACCCTTCAGGTTTCCCACAGTCCCCATGCAGAATCTTGACTAATTTACCTTGACACGGGCTGTCTCTCCACCGCTTTGTAAGGGAGGACTCTATTTCCATGGCTGCTCTGCTCCACTTGAACACCAGCCCAGAGGAAATGAGCGAGCACTCTTTTTCCATGGTTAAGATTTCGCTGCTATTCAGTACCCGATCCCAAATGTGCAGCTCAGTGATGCTCCCTGAGAATGACTCATCCTTCTTAAATGAGCCCCCAAACGTGTCCTGCTCTTGTCCAATAATGAAAAGGCCATCAGGACCAATGCTGTCAGAGCTGTTTAGGCCATCACCCCGGAAGAATCCAAGGTCATGAGTATACAGTGCCCAGCGTCCACCATTCTGGGTCCAATAAACACAAACTGAGTGCCAGGAGTCGTCATGGTCAAAGGCTTCCTGGTAAGGCCCATGAATGCCGTGGACCATCAGAGCCAGCTGCACAGGCTTTCCCTGGATCACGTTCGCTCGGAGCTGGAACTCATTAATATATGACTGGATGGAATAAGAGAAGATGGTAGAAATTCCAAAGCAGTTGGGATCGAAGCGTAGACGGGTGCAAACAGTCACTGAACCCATGGAGGAGAACTTGTGCAGGAGACGGGCGTGCTTTCTGTCCGAGCGCCCGCTGAACTCCAGAATCAGGGTGTCAGAAGAGCCTTTGGTTTCACCCCACAAAGAGAGAAGAGAAAGGCATTACTATGAAGGAAAAATCCTGGCAGAGTTCTTGGAAAAGATGGAACCTAATCATAAAATTCCACTTTGTCATCCTATTCCTACTGTAAACTTGGAAAACATCTATTCACTGTGGCTTGGAGTGTTTTACAACAGCATCATTAGTCCTATTTTGTATTCTAGTAGACAGAAATGCATCTTGGACAACACAAACATTGAGACGAGTATTCAAAAAGAAAGGCTGCTGACATAAGTGTAAACAAATGGCACACTGAACCTACTCGTCAGATAAGTCAAGACTTTCCTGTCAATCCAGACAGGTTCAGAGATTGTCAGAGACTTCAAGAAGTTGGTTAGGTTTTGTTTCTCTTCTGAGTTGGTGACTGCAGCCAAGGCCCCAGATCGCTGGTTACACACTTCCCCTGCACTGCTCCACTGCAGGCGATCAGGCACATACTCATAATAGAACTCATCATAGGTCAAGGTTCTGGATTCCAATGTAAAGGCTGTTCAAAGAAGAGAAACTGAGAAATTAACAGAGATACCTGACAGACAGCTTAGGTAAAAATTCAGGCTGAATTCTGATAACATGCAAGTTTTAGTGGTGGAATCAATTAGGGCTTGTTGTGTCATTTCCCAAGTTAAATGCTTTAAGATAAAAATGACACTGATAGCTGGAGAAAACTCAACTCTGGTTTGCAACAAAAACTTTCGTACCCACATACATACAATTTCCAGAAATGCACAAAATAATATACAAACAAAAGTGCGTTTTAAAGCACTATTGATTAAAATGAACAGATATTAGGAGCACGACAAATCTAAATAAAGTTGGTGTCATTAATATTCCAAGTTGGCAGTTTAATGTGTTAATTTAAGTAAAGTGTTAAAGTGTTTTCATCACTGCCATAGAAGTCTGAGTGATGTTTAGGCCACATGCTACATACACATCGAGATTTATTCAGCTAACCCGATTAGAAATGCACTTAGTGTGAATTTACATGCAGCCACCAACCAAATAGTGGTGGAAATATCCCAAATAACCCTTAACCCCATTCCACTTTCTGTCTCTCAAATCTTATGCCAGACAGTTTGGGGAAATGAGGACATTTATCGGGTCCTCACTTTGAGTTTAGGTTCATATTTGGCTTAAATTCTGTTTCGTGTAAGGATTGAGATCATTTAAAAACTCACTAGCTGTGAAGGTTGAGGTCAGAACAAGGGGCTGCAAGGGGAATGCATTATGTCAACGAGGGTCCAGAAAAGTATATAAATATAAACGTGCGTGTATCTAATGCTGTTTTCAGACGTGGACTGAGCCCTGGGAATTTCTCCAGACTTTGCATTTCACATAAGAAGAACACAGGGTCAGACGAGCTCACAACAACAGGAAGATGTCCAGAGGGAGCATAAAGCACGCAAGACATGATCATTTCCACTCCAATCTCGTTGTCTTCACGAGTTGACATCTTCTTCGTCGTCTCCTAAACGTATAGCACCTCCAATCCAAGAGATTTCTGTTCTTCTAGTTCTGCATTTGCCGTGTTTTCCTGCTCTGTTTTCACGAGAACTCACTCTGACATTTTACGAACATTTTACCTGGGGTCAAGAAAAGTTCAGGAAACTGTCCGGAGCAAAATGTCCGGAGTTCAATGCAAGTCTGAAAGCAGCGTTAGAGAACTACAGCTACATTAAATATGATTTAATTGTTTCTTTTGTTTTCAATATAACGCGGTGACAAAGTGGACGACAAATCTTTTAAAGCACTCTAGCATTCATGCTAGTTAGCGCTTTAGTGAGCGCTCGTTGTGGTTTTATAGCAAGGTAGCTAGGTTAGCTTCTTCTTCTAACCTTTGGTTAAATAAAAAAGTGATAATTGAGACATTTAAAAAAAGGACTCACCTGAGATACAGCTGTGAAAACAAACCTGAAATATAAATATAAGTTTAGCTCAATGTTGAAGCCACAGAACAAAGTTTCCTTTACTTGTAAATTAGCTTAATACACAAAAAGGTGTCGACCATGAATGATCTCCTGACATTATGAAACACACCTAATACAAACTAAGAAAAACCCATAATAACAATATATATCCTGAACACTGTAGTGTTATTGTGGGCTTTGTGTACATATTTACTACTAGTCACATTATAATTCATCCATGTTCCACACAAACAAGTGGCACTTCTTCATTTGATTTTAAAATTGAAAAAAACTTCAGAGGCTCTCGACCCAGCTGCCCTGACTAAACGTGTCCTCGCTAACTTTTCTATAAAACATACAACACATAAAAGAGTGTGTACTTACAAGCAGGCCTAACTTTGGCAACAACAACCTGTGCATCCTGGAAAATCTCATCCTCGTCAGCTGTGAACGCAGAGCAGCAGCATCCCACTGCAAACAAATCCGCTTTACCTGAAATCTGCGTCTTGTTAAAAACTTTTTCTGGCGCGTCTCCTCATTCCAGTTGCGCAGCTCGTGTGAACGCAGCATCCACAGACTGCTCCTAGGAGAGGTTTCCTCCGAGCTGCTCCCTCCTCAGACCCCAGCTCCTGAGAGCATGAGAGGGAGGATGAGGCGGAGGAGGCTGCAGGGAGGAGTGGGTGGAAACCTGCAGCCTGCACTGGGACAACAAAAGTGCGGTTCCAGGACCTCCAAGGGCCCTTTGAGCGAATTCCAGTGGTCCGGTCCAGCTAGAGGCTTCCATTATTATGTAACACACAGACGAGTGGGAATAAAGGGTTCTGCAGGTTTCCACGAGTTTGATTCTAAGACCATGATGAACGGAATTTAAGACTCAGGTCAGAGTATCACAGCTGCAGAATCACAGGCTGCTTTGACATCTCAGTCTTTTCATTTTTTAATGTTTATGATTCACCTAAAAAATCTACTCACCGCTATGCCGATGGAGGGGTGGGTGAAGTGTTTGAGTCCACATAACACTTGTGTACTTGAGTTTCAGGGGTAAAATAGCGTTGCAGCCAAATCCAATCCAATTTAAGTACGATTGAAGTTGTTTTTTTACATTTGAATTATGTTGAAACAGCAGAAGAGGCCCTGACATTCAGATTGGACTCAAAACGAGGTTATTCACTCCATGTTTTTAGCCTGAATGACCACTGTTATCCTCCTCTGGAGCCACGCTCACATTTGCACACACACTTGGACGGTCGGAACATTCGAAACAGACGCATCAAATTTCGTCGGTGAAAGGAGCAGAAATTAGTCTTTGTGTAAACCAAAATGTGTCCAGACCAAAGGAGGTGGTCTCGGTCCAGATTAAACTTCAGATCATCTGCGGTGTGAACATATTTTTTGGGGGAGGGGAAGATGAGACAACATTAAACTCTAGAAGAAGAAAAAGAAGCAGAAGCGACTATAACGAGGATGTAAATTATGCTGGAAGTAACCGGTAGTAACACCGTAATGATGTCACAGAGGCAACTCTCAAAGCAGGATGCAGGTGGATCCCCTCCTAATAATTACACCACAATTTAACCTTGTATAAATTAACACAATGATATGAGAGAAAAGATTCATTTACATGTTTCACTGATGTAAATAAATCATACGGAACATGTTTGTTCATATTTATATTTCACTGACTTTTGACACTTTTTAACTCACAACAGTTCAAGTAGGAAAAGCGTAAATAAATGTTTCCAACAATTCCTACTTTAAGCCTGTGTACCATTTCAGTGTCAATTCACAATCATTCAATAAAAACATCTCATTAAAGGTGTATTATTTACATGGTTTAGTGAATAGTGCAACACAATATGATTTGTTTTCCTGACAAATCAAACTAAATTAATGTATTGTATTATCTCAATTCCCTATATGATACCAACTTACCAGTTCTTACCAAGTCTTACAAAAGACATAAAAAAAAAATACTTTGTTTAGGTACATGTATTAGAGAAGTTTCTCCGGAGTGCAAATTGTTACAGTTTGTGTACAAAAAACAAAAGAGCAAAGCTTTAAGTGAATATGAGAATGAAATACACCTTCATGAGAAAAATCCTATACAGCAGAGAACGGGGACAAAGACGTTCAGTACATTTTTTTTTGTTTGTTTTACAAAACACTAACAAAAAAGCTGTTGAACTGTTTCATGTTCGATTCAATAGAAATGCAACCAAAAATAATTTACTTTACACATCTGGTGAGTAAAGTCTTAGATCTAATGCATCTGTTTAAAATACTTTCAAAGCACTCGGAAGTAAGTTCTTAACAACAAACCCGGGTACATCTCAACACTAGTGCTGCACTTGCATCAGAAATGACATGAAGGCTTACATGTGGAAACCACAGTTAATTTAAAGTGTTCAAATGAACAACTATCAAACTAAATGGAAACAGTTTCTCTGTCAGCTGCCCGCAGTGAGGTTGGTAATTATGGGGTGTGAAGAAAAAAGATACTTGCTTCTTATTACCAGCATTTCGGATTTCTTCTTGTCAGCAGTTAAGCTTTGCAGTAAATCCTACATGATATTAGAGCATCGTAAAGACACATTACACCCAGTGTGGGCTGCCTTTGGATGGGTGCAAGTAGACTATTTTACTTTCACCTCGATTTCTAACAGCACTGTAAGTGGAAGCACTCTCTTTACTCGAGATATCATCCTCTGTGCTCTTATCTGAGGCGGCAGAGCTTCTGCCCTCTCCTGCCTCCTGTTCGTTCCAGGGGAAGGACAAGGACTGCAGGGCCGAGTGGAGTGCGTCTCTTGCAGTCACGACACTCTGAAGACAGGGGAGCTGTGAGGACGCTGTCAGTGCTCCCTCCTTGGACAGACCGACGATCAGCTCGTTCACAGCCTTGGCAGAGGAGGAGATCTGCTCTCTGGAGCTGCTGAGGTTGGAGTCTCTGTCTTTGCCTGGAAGGAGAATGATCGTCAGACAAGAGAAGTGACACCTACAGAAATGATAATCTGGTGCATTCTGACTGGTTGCATTCACACTGTTCATGTCTGTCATCCTGCCAATAACACAGGCTTTTAACCAACCATCAAAACTCTTAAAGTCAAAATTCATTAAAGTCAACAACGACAGGTATTATTATAGCAATTAAAAGTAAAACATAGTTTATGCTTCGATTGGCTGGGACATTGGGAAAGCTGTAATAAAGCTGTAGTAAAACACCCAATAAAACTACACCTGTTCCAGCCGTTTATTCTACATTCTGATGCTATGACAAACTGCATGAAGCCTTCAGTTGTTAAACTGATATAATTTTTATTAATTGCATTGAATCATTTCTTTTTAGTGCCGAGAATGACTAATAGTGACAGACCTGCTTTTTTTTTAATACAATCATGTATTTCTCAAATTCAAAATAACCAGCTTGTGATTATGCCTGCATTAGCCTTTCTGTCATATTGTACTGTATTATATTTAGACAATCATCTTAATGAGTTGACACAGTGAAGGACAAACGGCTAAAACAACTGCTTCTGACTTTAGTCGGACTGTTATTTTCTAATGCTCGTGACTTCAGGATGTTTCCAGTGTTAGTCTATATACGTCTCACTGACTGAACACCCAGATTGTGTGTATGTCAGAGGCTTCACCTCGCAGGGCAGCAGACAGAGAGGAATGCAGCTGTGTGATGGCGTGGTTCAGTCGGAACAGTTTGGTCGCTGCATCCCTCAGTTTCTTCAGATGGGAAGCAGAAGCCTCCTCCACCCATTCCTCCACCTCCTCTGAGTCAGACTCCCTCTCCTGTGTCAAAATAAGAAAACAACCAGAATGACATTAAGAGACAGAGCTAAATGAACAGCTCTGTATGTAACACACATAAGAAAACAAACCAAAGGACAATATATGCTTTTAATTTTCTTTATATAATACACCTTCTAGAATGTCAACCACTGAGAAGCTCTGCTGTAACAGGCTTTTAAGAGCATTGCTTGATAGCACAAAGCACATGGATGGTACAGGAGATTATTAATCGTCAAATTGTCTTATTCCAAAATTCTAAATGTATCAATCTGACCTGCCTCACAGCTTCAAACTTCTATTGTTGCTATGTAATTGATTTTCAGCTATCAAAAGCTGTATTTGTGCCCATTTGATTTTTATTATTACATTGCTGCACAAATCCCAAATAGTTATTATAATTATAATAACTATGAGTTCAGAGAAGGACTATTAAATGATATGTTTGCGTATCAGTGCATTAAAAAGCTTTTCTAATTTTTTCTTATTTTGAGATGACTGAGAACTGCCCCTTTCTGAATAGCTGCAAAATATTAAGTCCAGCACTAAACACTCATACCAAAGATACATTTGCATCCACTATCATGCACAAGTGCAGTCCGTGTTGCAAGCTGCATGCAAAAAAAACAGCATGTAAGTTGTTGCTTCAAGCCATAACTCAGGTTTATTTGACCACATAACACAGTGGGCAGCAAAATGCCCCTGCGTCCATATGTGTCCGCGATTGGTTTTAACAAAAACACTGCTAGTTTGTGTGGCTAAGATAACAGCAAACAAGCCGTTAGCTGTGACTGATGCCACTTCATTCAACACATTCATTACCTGGATTATCTTTAAGGGGTCACTGCAGGGAGATAAGCCTACAGACCATTGAGCTTTACACGAACAATAAAAGGCTGAGTGGCATCTTTAAAAGGGCTGCTGTGGGAGAGGGTATTAATCTGTAACATTAAGCCCATGTCAAGATGGAAGACTGTTTTTAACCTTTACATATCCAGGGAGGCTTTGCCCTGCTTCTATCCTGTCTTTAACCACAGTTGACAAAAAAAGACTACTGGCAAACTAGAATATGAAACATTGTGTCAATTGTTTGGTTAGTTATGGTTTAAATTATATAATTATATTAATCATTTGTTCTTGAATACATCCACACAAAAAATGATAATAAAAGGTGTCTGGAAAAAAAGTTAATAATCCAGGAAAAAATATTTCTCTTACAAGGACGTCACATTACAACTCACCGAAATATGGCAATGCATGTAGCTCTGCAGAGCACGCGCTAAATCAAGCATCTTGGATTTAAGGCTCTGCAGGACCTGTGAGCAGAGATGACAGGTATCAGTATTAGCAACTCTTAAAAAAAAACATCTATGTCCACATTCACGATACATGATCATAACAATTCTTGTGGAATAGAATACTTAAGGTAACAAACTAAAGACGACCAAATCAACAGTGCTTTTAATAAATGATTATGATCTCTTACTGGGTTCCTGGGATACGCCAGCTGAGCGTCTCTCAGCATCTCCCTGGTGATGGTGAGACTCTCCTCTAAAAGAGAGCGAATGCCTCTGTTGGTCCCCTTCAGTACACACATGGTCATGGAAGGCTGAAAAGATGGAATCATATAATTGTATAAATCATATTTTTATAACAAATGTTGTTACATGTCTGTTTTTAATTATTACATTTTGACCAGAGACATTCAATTGTAAATTTTACAAGATAAAAAGAATTACTATTTATTATATGGTAAATCTTTGCTTGCCATTTCTTCTTACTGATCAGCCAGGAACAGATGAATAATAGGACTGGGCAATGCTCTAAGTCACAAACATTACAACATGGATGTCTTTCCAATTTTGGCTTACTGTACGTCCCAATATAACAAACAGATGGGCTACCACAAATATAACTGGAATTATCTGATATCAGCCAATATTCTGGGCTAGCCACTTTTTCCCTTTTTTCACATTTGGTGCTCATCGATCAATAGTGTGGTGATTTGACACTACGTTTCCCAGAGATCACCTGACAGGCAGACCATCTCAAGGATCACACAGGGACTCTGTTAAACTGAATTTTCTGCTTTGTTTGTTTCAGACATGTTGTCACTGCAACAATAAACCATGTGGTTGTTTTGACTTTTAAGAAAACGTCTAAAAGAAAAGAGAGGAAAAGTATTTATATCCAAATATCCCCACGTCCTAATATCTTCTGTGCTTCGAGATCCACACAGCTAATATTTCATTCTCTGGTATTGTGGAGCAGGGGCTTGATTATAGTGAACCCTAAAGCCTTACCAGAGATAGTAGCTGCTAAGGTATTAATGGTGCTGTTACCTTGCCTGCGGCCCGGGCACCCAGCTCCATAGCATTCAGCGGCATGCATGTCACTGCCGCCAGGTGGCCGAGTGCAAGCAATGCTGCATCCAGGCACTGGCTGCTCTTCCTCCGTGCCTCCGTTACCATGGATGTGATCTCTGATTCACAGCCCTGGATGAGGAGAAAATTATCATTTCGGTAAAAATCAAGTCAGCACAAGCAAACTGACTCACAGGCTGAATTAAAATTGATTTAATAGTGAATGAATGTAAGCAAGCTAACAAAGTGGCCCATGTAGGCTGAGGGGGCGGTAAATAAATTACAATACTTGAGAATGTGAGAAATCGGGAGTGAGAGGGGAAAATTGTGTGTTTAGGTGCTGAGGCTGGTAAGGAATTTAGATTTAAGTTTCATATATTCATGTTCTGTTTGGGGCTCAAGGATGAGAATTCCCTCCGCTTGGCCATTTCCATAGACAGAGCTCAAACAGCTCAGAGCTAAGATCCGTCAATCAATGCTCTGCATTTTGATTAGCTGCCCCTGTCCAAACTACGCTAAACTGAAAATCATTTTTCAGCTCAGATTTCGACAGACATTAACTCATTTATATGTTGCAAGTGTCACAAAAAGCACAATATGTTAACACCTTTATTCCAGCGCTTTAGTTTTTGTCTTTACCTGAATGAGCAGCTGAAAGAATCCTCCCATCTTCTTCACTTGGCTCTTGAGTTCCTCAGTGATTGTGTAGAGGAAGCCAGACACGGGTTTAACACTCACCAACCACTGCATGGTCACAAACGCTGCACTCTCTATGGCTGTGGTGGCCTTGACCAGCTGAGTCTGGGCCACCAAGTTACAAACAAACACTGCAGGAGGAAAAAAGGTTCATGTACACCTTCACAATAAACCCAAACGGAACAAGATAGACCTTGGCCTGAATGAAGAGAAAAATTGGAATATCAAGTCTGTGTGCAATGTCAGTTACATGCAAAGTGAAATCCTCACCGTTCTCCTGGCTGTCATCGTCCAGGCTGTCGTACAGGTCAGATAAGGTTTGAACTGCCTCATACACCAGGTTCAGATCAGAGGCCAACCTGTCAGCCATGCTCTCATCTGTCACACTACATCCACGGAGACGGCCCACTGATTGACCGATCAGCTCTTTGCAGATGCCGGGCAGGGCAGAGTCTGTGCTGCTGGAATGGGTGGAGGGAGGTTTGGCGACACCCATCAACCCTGGGACGAGCACATTGAAGATGAAGGGTGTGCAACGATGGCCACATTAAACATCATTCTTACAACTTTTGCATTTGTTTTGTATCATACAGAGGGTATGACAAATTCCAGCAGTTTCATTCTGCGCCTCACCAGCAGACTGGGAGGAGCCATTGTGGAGGCTCTGAATCGGATGAACCCGGATCTCGTACAGGCGCCCGGAGATTCTCCTGCTCTTCAACAAACTCCTGCTCCTGTAGCCAAACAAACCAAATTCTAGGAGTAAATTTTCTATTTACATTGACACTTAAATATATTGATGCTCTCATTCAGAATGATTTGGTGCTCTAATATATACACTTACAATTAATGTTGTATCTTTATTAAAGCTAAGGCTGGTAATCCTGCTTCAGTTTGCAAATGTGCAACTGATACAGGATTTCAACAAATAAAATGAAGTGAATCAGAAACAAAAACAACTTACCAACCCTACCTCTAAAAGAATAGAGTGCAAAAGCCATTCTACTCATTGCAGTTCATACCTATTGTCCCATTTGAGTGCTATAATTTACTGTAATTAAATGTAATTCAATTTTAAATGTGTTATTTTGCCACTGTGTATGTTAAAATGTTAAAAGGTTAAGAATAAAAGTTTAATACATTTTGCAGGAAAATAAACTTTACTAGTTAATATGAACAACCTTTAGGTGGGAAGGTTCAGTAAACAGCTGTGGTTTTAGTGGAGACAGAGAGAAAAAAAAGTATAAAAGGAACAACAGACCCGTGTGCCATGTTGCATTTGGCTGGGTCTGCTGCTAGTTCAGGCACCACCAGAAACACCATAAACACGTTTTCACAAGAATAACTACAATATGAGGGGAAAATGTTGGGGATCTGCGTGAACCACAGGTGCTCTCTGTGTGTGTTTGGATTATGGGTTGTAGAGTGAGAAACACAGGGACCCTCAATGCCCTTTTCTTTTCTAAACCCCTTGGCCTGGCCTGCATGGAAATAAAATTAATAAACAGAGCAAAAGGAATAAAGAGGGAAATATACTGCGGGCAGCAACTTCATGTCAACTTTTCAAGAAAGAAAAAAAGGATGTGTTGAAAATCATAAATACATGCCAGGTTGTAAATTACATCGGTGGAGACTAGGAACTCTTTGTGAAAACAAACAAAATCTTCCAAACTGTTTGACAAAATGATTTTCCATGTTCCGTCCACATACTTTTCAACTTTCCATATACATCCATTTGTCTAACATATTGTTCACATTAAAAGAGTTGAGCACGAGGGCTGTGAAATTTAGAACCACGTGCATTAGGGCAAAGATGTTTTCCGTCCAAGCCCCGAGAACTGTTGAATGATGGGAAGGAAGGCAGAGAGACAGTTCGGTACCTCCCTCAGCAACACGCTTTGAGGGTTTCTGAACAATTGCCTACTAACAAATTTTCAATAACTGGACAAGACTACAATTCATTCCTGAAATCTAATGTTTGTATGGTGCTGGAATGATCGACTGATGGATAGGAGGGGAGAGAAGAGCTGGATAATTACCTTCGGCGTGAGAACGATGAGGTGGAGGCAGAGGAGGCCGATATATCTTGCTCCCACTCATCATCAGGGTCATAAAACACGTCGTCATCTTTAGAGGTGGAATCCCCCTGTGGAGAGTAAACTATTGCTGACATGCCCGGTCTCATTTACACAACTTAATGAGAAAAGCACAGCAAAGTGAAGCAGCATCCCTCTGTCAGGCATAAAACGACCCATTCTGGACTGTAAATAAGGTCAAACATCTGGGAAATTGGCAATTGCACTTGAGATGATGTCAGAGTGAATATGCAGAATGAGGAACAGACGGGCTGGCTGCTTGAATATGCTTCATTCAACAGCCAACATCTATTAGCTTATTAGAGCACTGGTAAAATCTAATAAATGAACCTTCCTGTGCATCATCTTTATCAAGTGCCTACTTATTGCATGTCCTTCATCATATTAGACATTTAAGGGTGTAAATGTTTTTGATGATCATTCTGACTCTATACACAATATTCAACAATACTATGGCAATAAAAAATATTCTTACATGTCAATTATTCTTTACAACCCTAAATGATAACCAGAGGCAGCTAGAACTGATCTAAGATAAGTAGAGCAAAAGACTTGGAAATACCCTGAATAAGTGGAAACCATATGACAGGGTTAAGATTCTGAATGTGAATATGCAGAATCTATTGTGAAGGACAAGATTTTGGGGCCAGAAGCCTTTTATTTCCTTCTCTAGTTTGGCCAATTTTTTTGTCTTTGATCTACTTTCCAATCGATCTGATCAGTATGGCTCTGGAAAAGTGATCCAATCAAGGAAAACATGTTGCCACAGCCTTCACCCTTTAAGAGAAGAGCTCTTTAACAAATTAACCTTCAATCAACCAGTTCATGTTCTTTTATAATTTGTTTAAAATCATTAAAAATGTTCAGGTTCTTTCCAGGAATCAATAATCATTCGATCAGATAAGTGAAAATGTTGAAGGCAGAACTGATTTAAAGCCAACCTGTTCGAGTTCCCTCATGGCAGCCATGTTGTTTTGGAACTTGTCCAGACTCCAGAATGTGGAGATCCCCAGCTTTGTGTTTTGAACCCGCACCTGGAGCAAACCATCCGTTCCCAGATTCTCACTGTCAGAGCTTTCGTGTCTTAAAATGAGGAGAGTCAAGTTAAGGTTTTATTGATGCAATGAAGCTTTGAATAACAGCGTAATTATGGTAAAGCCTTGCTATAAAATTAGAGACAGCCGCCACTTAAATGAATGAAAACAAAATTTCCATACCTTCTAAAAATTGTGTTTTTCTTCAGTTTAGCACTGATCTTATTAGCTTCCTCAATCATCAAGGACATCTTCATAGCATCCCAATGTGGAGAGACTGAAATATAGAAATGTAACTTGTTAACTAAACCACAACCACCACGTACATTTTGTTTTGTTTCCAAGACACTGCTATTGAAAAAATACATTTTTAGTATTAGTATTCCAATCCATTAGATGATTCTGATTTTGTAACCACCCTCCACAAGAGTTGTCATCTCACTATAAACAGCTAAATGGACAGATCCCACCCATCTACTGTGCCAGATGGGTGGAATCTGTGTGGGTGGATATCGTTCTTAACTCCAAGACGTGGTCATGACCTGTAGATCTCACCATTTCTCGGAGTGTGGATATCCCTCAAAGCTCTTTTCTTCTGCATCTCCTCCAGCTCTCTGCCAATCTTCTTCTTCTCTGCCTCCAGGGCCTCAACAATCCTCACTTGACTTACACGGTGTTCCTCCATCGCCTGGAGAGAATCATGGTAATGTACACACTGTTAAAAACCACCGTTACGCCTCAAGCCAAGCTCTACCACAAACCAAATGGCCCATCAGTTAAACATAAACCCCGTGTCAGCACATTTGCTTGAGCTTTTCAAGCTCTTTTCAGATCACCAGAAAACATGAGAATGAGCAAATTAGGGAGATGATGTCATTTACAGTTACAGAAATAATCATATTTCCTATCGAGAGACGTCTGAAGATTAACAGAGAGAAAACTTGAGAAAGCTGACTGAATTAAGATCTGTTACTTATTTTCTCTTGGATACTGCAGCTCTACCAAACCACTAGTCTGAATCTCTGAGGCCAAGTTGTTAGTATTTAGGACACAGTCTCTTCCAAAAGAAAATGAGAGTGAGCTCAACAGTGTAAAGGCAATAAATGAGACCTGTAAAACAGTTAATATTCAAATATTCTGAAAGGCTAATAGACATTGACAGTGGGATAAAGCAAATAAACTTGTTTTTTCATGGAACAATCCCTATCCAGCACTAAGACAGCTTCCTTGAAACTGAAAATAGTTGAGCCAAGTGAAGAGGAAACATTCCCAGGTTTTGCTCCGTGTGCTGACCTGGGCCTCCATGTGCAGACGGAGGTGTTTCTTGTGGGAGTCCACCTTCTGTTCCAGCTCCAGCTTGGCCATCTTCAGCTCTGCCATCTGACTGGCCACCCTCTGCTGGTCTAATTCCTGTTGACGTTTCCACGCACTCTCCTCGTTCTGAATAAATTACATTTTGCCATTACTCAAAGCTGGCAGCACAACTTGACAGGGTGTAGGGATATACATAAATTACACATGACAAGAAGTATTTGACCACTGATTATGTAATGCAGAACACAGGGTCAAAGAAAATGCACCTATTGATTTCAATTTGTGATTTAGGAAGATTTGTTAACAGGTAAAACTTTTAAGTAAATTGACTTTCAATCACTGCAATCATACAGAACAGATAAGAATTTGTGGAGAATCCTCATAACACTGTACGGTATAAAGAGTGCATAGGACAGAGCTGTGGTTTCATGCCAATGGGTAATACTTAGCAGTCCAGATGCCCTCCACCTCATAATAAAAAAAACTGAAATGTAATGTACCAGCTCTCTCTCCAGGGCACGAATCCTGTCCTCATAAAGTGCCCTCTGATCACAAAGCTCCTTCTGGGCCACCTCCTTTGCCATCTGGATTCCCTGCATCATCTCCTCTTTCGCCTTCAGATGGGCTTCTTCAATTTCTGCCTCCAGCCTGAGAAACACAAAGATATCTTTAGAGGAATTATTACATATGTAACCTTGAAATAAAATGTTTGAAAAAAATTAAACACAGGGTAGGTTTTTCCAAATGGTCATTAGACTCACTGAGCTCTTTGAGCCTTAAGTAGTTCATTTTTAGCAAATTCAAAATCTTTCTGGCCATCGCCTGCGCCTGTCCAACACGATACACGCTTCCCAGACTGCACCTCAGCTGGATGGTTAAAGCGGAAGTAGTGGTCGCCGCCTAGAATCACCCTGTCACCCTGGAATTAAAATACATAGACGGGAATAGTGAATTATATGCATAAAAGCACCTCGGACAAAAGGGTTGGTCGTATGATTGACATGATTGACATGATTGACATGATCTACTCACATGATGAAGGACAGTGGACTCTGAGATCAGGTTCCCATTAACAAAGGTCTTGGCACTTTCCATGGGTGTGATGCTGACAGTACCATGGATACTGGTTATAACGCTAAAAATAAAAACATGATAAAAACATTGAAATAACATTTTAAAGTGACAGCATTAGTTTATTATAAGCACTTTGTCTTTTAATATAGTATAGTAGTGGTGCACACTATTTATTCAACTCAACCAGTTGCCACTGTTCTCGCAGCCCGACAGTGATGCTTTCTCACCAGTGCTGGTCGGCAATGAGGGCTCCAGTCAGCTGAATGTCTCGGCTGGAGTCAGACTTGATCTTGCCCACTGTGGTTTGACCCTCTTTGATCATGTAGAGAAGCATCTCAGACAACTGGGGATCCTCGTTCAGGTTCACCAGGTTGGGAAGACGATTGTCCACTTTGAACGTCACGCCTGCTTTCTGGAGAACAAGAACATAGTTGACAACTGATATTGTCTTTCTGGTTTGAAATGTTTCCTAACTCAGAAAATTTTTAGTATGACGACACAGGAAAATGTATTACTCGTGTTTTCAGAGCACATTACTTTCACTTTGACGATTTTTTGCAAATTGTGTGACACCCAAAACAAAGTTCAATGCAAGTTAAAGAGAAGTTACATCATAAATAAAGCATCAGTGTTTTGTTACCTGCAACTCTTTGGTCTCCTCACGTTTGCGTATTTCAGCTTGTTCCAGTTTCTCTCTCCATGCCCTGTCACAAAATAAGTTAAGTTTTATGGAGTTTAAATGCCATCACATTTTCGAGGGCTGATGTTTAA